AAGACTAAAATACTCTTTTGAATGGGAGCTTAAAGATAGCTGCACTCAAATCCTGTTTGAGTACCTTTCATAGATTTTTAAAAAATCACCGTATACCTTTCTATAGCCTGTAGAAAGGGATAAAAATTAATGCAGTTAAAAAAATTGCTTAGCAAAATCTGCAAATGCCTTGGGTGTCACTGTAAAACAGACAGTTAATAAACAGTAGCCTTATTTGGGTGTATGTAGCACAGTGGTAAGAGTGAAAGCAATTGGTGGTCAGAATAATGCCCACCACATAAAAATGAAGATCTCAGGAAACTAAAATGAGAGTGCTCAGAGAGCTTTATTCTCTAGAACTTCTAGAGGATAACACTCCATTTTGAGCCTTTGCCGGTTCTTAGCAGCAGACCGCATACATTGGCCAGCAATCCGGTCATGACAGCCCTAACTTCTAACATTACTTTTCTTTTACTAACTCTTATGCTTCCCTTTCACTTAAAAAGACCCTTTGATTACATCACAAACACTCAAGTAATCCAGGATAATCCCCCATGTCAGGATCTGTATTTTAGTCATATCTATAAATACCTTTTGGCATGAAGTATGCCATGGTGTACAGGTTCTGGAGATTGTGATATAACTTGTTTACATATGCTGGGGATTATGATGTGTGTACATCATTATTTTTCTTATTACAGAGTGTTACTACTATTTTATATCTTGTTGATATGAAACTTTTCTTCACCTGTGTAGTATATTTAGATGACAGTGAAAACTGAAAAGATTCATATAACATTTTTTAGAGACTAACAACAAACCCTGATGTGTTAGTGCCTGCCTTAGTAGCAGACACTTCACATTACTTTCAATCAATAAATTATGACATGAGATCTCTGGAAATTCTGTATTCCATAACATTTTAGTTACTTGGAATGTAAGGAATTAAGTCTTCTAGGGAAGTTCTCCTTAACATCAAAATTAGAAATTAATTAATGAAACCCAACTGATCTTTGTAAGAAAGTTCTGATATTTAATCCTACTGCCCCTTTTATCTGTATTAACCTAGAAATAAATCATATAGTTTTTTAAAAAAAGAAATATAAATGAGCATCTAGTTAAAATGTTTTCCCTGACACTCCTATCCTTTGAGACAGCTAGTTCTAGTTATTACACCAGTTTTTCTACAGGTCCATCTCAACATTCTTTCATTGTCCTAATTTTAGACATCAAATACTAGAGTATTGTTATCATAGATTTCACTTGTCGTGCCAGTATCCATATATAGTCCTTGTTAGATGTTTCTCTCTCAGTCAGCTCTGACACTCAATACACTTAGATCTACATTTCTTATTTTGTTTGTGGTGGAACTTTTTATTTTTTTATTAGTAATCAAAGACTCTGTGTCTGCTTCTCTTTTCAGAAAATAAGAATATTTACATATACATGCTGTAAGATAATTACTTTTGCCTCATTATAACCAAATACCTAAGCAAACAACTGAAAGGGAAGAATTACTTATTTGGGTTCATGGTTTCATCCATAATCCTTGGCTCTATTGATTGTGGGCCTATAATGTGGCAGAAAATTTGTGGAAGAGTAGGAGGCTTTACCTCATGGCAGTCAGGCAGCAGAAGAAGAAAAAGATGGTACTGGATACCAAGCATAACTTTCAGCAGCAAGGACCCAACCCAGTAGCCTACTTCTTCTAGCTAGTCTGGACCTGAGTTTCTGCCACCTCTCAGTTTCTCACCACTAGCAGAGGACAAATTATTCAATACATGAGAGACATTTCACGGTTAAACTGCAGCTCCCCACTTCTCATGCCTCTCCCACTTGCAATAGTACTCGTTTCTTGTCAGTGTTGATTCTAAGGTTGTATAATTGCCCCAAATTAGTACTAACATCAGTTGATGTTAGTTAATTCTTCATATTGAAGACCAATACCAATAGGCAGTACTCATGCCTATAATCCCAGCTCGGAGGTAGAGGTAGAGAATCATGATTTAGAGACAATCTCTAGCCCTTTTCACCCTACCCCTAAAAAAATTTAGCAAAACCCAATTTCAAAGACATCGGAAAATTCCAACTACTACCAAGGCACAAGTACAAGGATTGTTGTTTTAAGGCTAGCTGTAGACAAAAGCACGAGATCCTATCTGTAAAATAACTGCAGTTTAAAGGATTGGGAGCATGGCTAAATGGTACCACACTTTCCTAGCAAGCATAATTCCCTGAGTTTAAAACGCAGTAGCTTCAAAACTAAAAAGAATTCCTTTTTCTCTCGATTGGTTGTTATGATTAGAGAACCATTGAAAACAAGACAATTTTTGCACTAAAATCAGATGAGAAAGGGGACTCTCTCACTCTCACGAGTAACAGGTTTTCAGTTTTCTTTTCAATTTTCAGTCATTTCATTTATTTTCTTCTGTTCCTCTCCCTTCTTTCCTGGAGATTCTTAGTGGTTTCTCACTCGACCTCCTGCACAGCTCATGTTCTGAAACTTTACTCCCTCACCATTTTCCTTTGTTGCATTTCCTTTTTTCTACAGGTAAAATCTATCTTCAAGTTTCTGTATTCCAATTTGATGGGTTGGCTGAAAATGGGTTTCACTATAAATTGCTTCTTCTCAGGATTGGTAGTATTCTACTTCACTAGGCCAGCCTGGTTCCTGGACCCTTAAGTGACTCATTAATGGTGACCTTTTTTTTTTTTCTTGTAGAAGCATTTCTCTCTTCTCTATGTTCTTCAGGTTTTTATATTTCACAGTGCTGTATCTAAATATGAGCGGATTTCATTTATTCTAAGATGGAGGTTTTTCAGTGTTCTCTGGATCCTTTACACCCATTTCTCTTAATGCTGATCTCATTTCATACTACTACTCCCTGGCTCACCTGGCTCTTCTTTAGCTAAACCTCAGGCTCTTTTCCTTGACTACTACTTTGGTGTAAAATGCCTTTCCCTTAGATATCTGCTTGGCCCACTCCCATGCCGCCTCAGATCTTTTATTCAAATATCACTTTTGAAATAGCATTCTGTTCTAACAGTTTTATTTAAATTGCAATCCTCCACTCTCTAAACACTCCTAATCTTCTTATCCTGCTTTAATTTTCTTCAGATTTATCACAAATTTGCATACCAAGCTAAAATACCTGCAAACACACTTCCATGTGTGTATTAATTGGTATGTATGCATGTACAGATATATACTATGTGTGTATTAGAATATACCTGTGTATATATAGTATATATATGCATATGTATATATATACATCTATGTATATATAGCATATGTATGTTTAAATTATGTATATTTTTATAATAAAATATATTTGCATGTATATGTGTATGTATATAATTTGATATGACCATAATAAAATACTACAGTCTGGGTTGCTAAACAGCAGTTTACTTTCTATTTTAGTTCACTAGGCTTCAAGTTTGAGATAAAGATGTTGGCAGAATTCACTTCTTTTGAGTCCTCTTTCCATAGCTTATAAGTAGCTTCTTTTTCCTGTATCTGTGTGGTCTTTTCTCTGTAACTCTGGCCAAATTTCATCTTCATATTAGAATACAAGCCATATTTGATTAGTGACTACCCTACTAACTTTATTTTAACTTAATTACTTCTTTATAGACCATATCTCCAAATATAATTACATTGAGCAGTAGTAGGTGCTTGGACTTAGCATATGAATTTGTTGGAGATGTGGCAGGATTCAGGTCCTGACAGGATTCAGGTCCTAATGTATATAATTTTTATATTTTTTCACCTATGTTTCTCTGACAGAATCTCTAGAATGAAATCTTTGTGAAAGAATTTTAAAATTAGTATTCATATTTATGTATATTATATATTATTTATAAATATGTATAAATATATATCCAATGCCTAGAACAAAACCAAACACACAATAGATGGTCAGGAAGTAAGAATTCGCTGCCCTCTTCATGAGTTCTTTAATCTGAAGACTCACATCTTTCTTACCGCTGGAAAATTATGTCTCGTTATTTTATTATTTTAACTTCTTTCCAGTCCTGTTCACTGACCTTCAGACCCACTCGATTGATCTTAGTTTTTCATCTATCTGTTGCTTTTTTATCTTTAAAGGTAATTCCTTCAGCCCTCACTCCCAAGCACATCTAAGCATTATTCTTAGATATGCTTAGTTTGGGCAATTAGATGTATTAAATTTCCAAAAGTTTTTTTTTTAGTCTTTTCTCATCACATTTTGCTGTTGTTTTATGGATGCTCTGTGTTTGATGGTATTTATGGATTCGTTGACCATATTTTTCCTCTTGCTCCAAATTTTAAATTTTTTCATTGGTTATATTTGTTGTTTGTGCTTTTTACACATTGCTTACACATTTCTCCTTCTAAGTATCTGGCAATGCTTAGTTTTACACTTTTATAAAGAGTCAAAATAGTACTAGATCTTATTTTTAAGGGTGGATCTTTCCCCCAATATTGTCAGTTCCTGGCTGTTGCTCTGGAGATCCCTTCTAAGTAGAATGCAGAAGTAGAATGCAAATCCAAAGGGTTTGGGGGACAGCACATGTAGTGGCTGTCTTAGGTTTCCTTAAATAAGTTATGTTTTTTTCTTAGATTAAACATATTGCAACTTTTTACCTGATAGTCCAATTTGGAATATTTGATGTATAGAATCAGTGATATTTTATGTGTGTTTTCAATTCATATCTTTATTTTCACTTTCACTCTCCCTGATTCAAAGACAAATCTGTTATACATGTTCAATGTCCTATTCCTCTCCTTAAAAATTAAGACCATCAACCAAGCAAACATTCTCTGTTTTTTTTCCATCTATACTTAGTTGCTTATTATTTTCCCAGTCATCAGGAATATTAGAAAAGAAAGAGTGTAAGACTAGAAAGCAGCCAAGGTGATTGCATTCCAAGTGATATTAAATTTATTTTTAAGGATGCATTCTTCCTTGCCTTCAACTCCCTGGATTCCTTTTACTGTACCTAACTAATCTTGTCATTTTTGTGATTTTACACAGGTCTGCAATTAGAGCCTTGCGTCCTGGCGGGATACTGGTGTACTCTACATGTACACTTTCCAAAGCAGAAAATCAAGATGTAATCAGTGCTATTTTAAACTCCTACTGTAACATTGTGCCTGTGGACATTAGGGAAATAGCAAGAACTTACTCCCAGCACTTCACATTTGCTCCCACTGACCGTGAATATGGGTTCATGGTGATTCCTGACAGGGGCAAAGCCTGGGGCCCAATGTATGTAGCCAAATTGAAAAAAGAATCATAAAGCAATGAAAAACAATGGGATACATTTTAAAACAATGGTGGTATATAATTGTGTTTGTTTTTCTTAGGTCTCTACATGTTACTATTTAAATAATTATTCGGTTACTTTCTCTGGTTCTGTTTGTGGAATCCTGTTTAGTTAATGCTTTGGTATTACAGAATGCAGGTTTGAAAATTTTTCAGGTGTATTTTTTCCTAGAAATATATTTCTAGCAGTGATTTAAGGTAGTACAGATGGTGTTTGTTCTGTGTAATAAATCTGCTGTCTTTTACTTGGCGTTTTTTGGTTATATTAATCAAAATACATGGTTTTCTGCATAAAATGTTTAGGGCTACATTCTATCTATGATGTCGGTGCTTTGAACCATTAAAATGCACATTTGCTGGCACCATACTGTTTTTCTCTTTATCAAATGTAGATTCATGTTTGTAAGAGCTGATTGGTATTCTGAGACTAACTTCTTAAGCAGCACAATTTCTAGTTCTAGCAAAATAGGTTTCTTATTTGCAAAGTTGTTTTCCGTTAAGGACTGTCGTCTGTTTACTGCAAAGGTCAGTGACTCTATTGACACCAGCTTTATTTCCCTCACTTATTTTTATTTTTTTTTGTATTCACAAATACAAATTGAAAGGGTAAATTATGTTGAAAGGCCTTTAGAAAACAGACTCACAGGCACATGTTTGACTTTCAACATTCAGCTTGTGGAATAATGGAGTCTATCCAGAAGGCTATAAAGCAAGTACTTAGAATGAGAATGATTAATAACTGCAATAACTGAACTATATTTGGAGAGTTTTGTTACATAATTGCAGTCATAATGAGTACTACAGAATCTGATTATCTTACAGTTGCAATCTGGAGGAGCTTTTTTATTTGACTCTGTTATAAAGTGTTAGAGGAGAGAGTGATGTCACTTTTTTTTTTTTTTTTTTTGCCAGTTGGGGAGCCTGACCTCTGGGCCTGGGCACTGTCCCTCAGCTCTTCAGCTCATGGCTAGCGCTCCACTTCTAGCTTTTTCTGCTTATGTGGTACTGAGGAATCGAACCGAGGGCCTCATGCATGCAAGGCAAGCACTCTACCACTGGGCCACCTTCCCAGCCCTGTGATGTCACTTTTAATGTACAGGGGCAATGCTTAATGGGGGTGTATTATACTTCTATCAAATTCCAATAGCTACTAAGTGACTCACTCGAGTTACATGTATCCTGTGAATCTGGTGTGTATTTCTTTATATAGACTTAGAGTTTTAGTGTCAGTCCTTAGATCATGCATTTTCTCCCAAAGTTACTTCATTATAGAGTCCAAGCATAGTTTTTCCAGTTATTAAGAAAAACAGTGAAGCTAGGCATGGTAACACATCATGTAATCTCAACCTTCAAAAGGCTTAGGGACTAGGATATACCTATGTGATGAGTTCAAGACCTACATATCAAGAACTACATATCAAGAAACTTTCACAAAAACAAAAGCTGGGTACCAGTGGCTCATGCCTGTAATCCTAGCTATTCAGGAAGCTGAGATCTGAGGATCATGGTTCAAAGCCAACCCCTGCAGGAAAGTCTGTGAGACTCTTATCTCTAGTTAACCACCAGAAAACCAGAAGTGGCGCTGTAGCTCAAGTGGTAGAATGCTTGCCTTGAGCTGAAGAGCGAAAAGACAGCTCCCAGGTCCATAGTTCAAGCCCCAGACTGACCAAAAAAAAACAACAGAAAACACACTCAGACTCAGTTAAGATTTCCCTTGAGCCGGGCCAGTGCTCTTGCCTGTTATCCTAGCTACTGAGGAGGCTGAGATCTGAGGATCACGGTTCAAAGCCAGCCCTGGCAGAAAAGTCCATGAGACTCTTCTCTCCAATAAACCACTAGAAAACTGGAAGTGGCACTGTGGCTCAAGCAGTAGAGGGCTCGCAGGGACAACGCCCAGGCTCAGAATTCAAGCCCCATGACCGACAAAAAAAAAAAAAAAAAAAAAAAAGATTTCCCTTGAATTTACGATATTTCAGTTAATACATTTATATACACTTGCATACCACTCAACATATATACTATAAGCTAAATCTAGCTTCCACATATAAGAAGAAACAGGAACCTTTGTCTTATTTCATTTAATACAATTTTTCCCAAGTCTTTCCATTTCTTTTTTTCTTAGTGTATATATATATATTTTTTGGGGGGGCGGGGTGTCCGGTTGTGGGACCTGAACTCTGGGCCTGGGCACTGTCCCTCAGCTGTTCAGCTCAAGGCTAGCACTCTACCATTTGAGCCACAGTGCCACTTCCGGCTTTTTTCTTTTTGCTTATGTGGTGCTGAGGAATCGAACCCAGGGCCTCAGGCATGAAAGGCAAGCGCTCTACCACTGAGCCACCTTCTCAGCCCCTTAATATATATATTTTTACTGTACAGAGGGGTTATAGTTACATGAGCAAAGTAATGAGTCCATTTCCTATCAAGCATTGTTAGACCCTCTTTTGTTTTTCTTGTTAAACCCTCTTTTGTTTTTCCCCTACCATCCCTTCCCTCCCCAACCCCCCCACCGCCCTGCAAAGTTGTTAAGTTTGTTTTCAACATATTGTCTTGTACATCTCATTGTGAATCCTTATTTCAGCATTTTGTTATTTCCCTTCTCCTCCCAAAATTAGAAAAATATATATACATGTTTCAGGACACCGGAATCAAATACAATGACAACAGGGATTGTATCATGGGGGAAGAACATACAAAGAAACAAAACAAAATCACATAGTACATTATAAGTACATTAAAAAGAACAGCAACAAAGATAAAACCTCCTTATCTTGGGGTTCATTTCGTTTAGCATCAGGTTATGTGGTCATTTATACCTAGCTTTTGACCTCTTCTGCTTGTCCCAGATATATACTAGTTATTGCAGATAAGGGAAACCATGGGACCTATGTTTTTTTGAGTCTGGCTTGATTCACTTAATATATTTTTTCCAAGTCTTTCCATTTCCTAACAAATAGGGTGCGCACCACATTTTCTTGATCTGTTCATCTACTGAGGGGCATCTGGGTTGGTTCCATATCTTAGCTATGGTGAATAATGCTGCCACAAACATAATCATGGTGGTAGCTTTCTTTCTAATGGATGAGCAAAATTCCATTGTGTATATATACCACATTTTCTTGGTCCATTTATCCATTGAGGGGCATATGGGCCGATTATATAGCTTACATATAGTGAATAGTGCTGCAAGTTAAGCAAAATAAAACACCAGGAAAAGAGGATACACAGAATGGGTGGGGTGGGATCAAGGGGAGAAGAGGGGGAAATTGTAGACAAAAATCTAATGTATATCCTACAAAATTAAGAAGCGTGAGAGCAGGGGTGGGTAGGGAAGGGATGTTTGAGAATATTGAAAGGGGTGACATTGATCAAGATACATTGTATACATAAACTTTGTTAAAGGACAATTCCTGTGTACAATTACATAAAAAGATAATAATAAAAAGGTAGCAATCAAAACATATGAAAGGCAATTTAAAATAACCTAAAAAAAGACAACTTGAAGCTGAATGCTACTGTATTATTCACTTCTATTTAGACTAAAGACTATTTTCTATTATTTATTTTTTGTTTTGCAAGCTTCCATACTTGAATTCAGATAACTGAGAGGACTAGAAATAATGTTTTGTTTGTTGCCTTTGTTCTATCAACAACTTGTAAAAACATGTAACTGATGTGTTCAAAGTAAAGCTAGATATCTTGGACTCAATCAAACATGTTTGGTGAGCACAGAATTTTAATGAGGATTGAAAAGATTTTTATTTTTTTTGTTAGTTTATGCTAACAAAATAAACCACAATTTTTTAATGGTTGAAATCCTATCTTATACTAAAGGTTTAAAATGTGCATTGCTTTTCTATAGGTTAATCATAAAGTATATGTTCGTAATATACTTAGTTTAATGTTTTCGTTTTTGTTTTTATTGTGAAAATACCATATAGAGGAGTTATAAATTACATGGGCAAGATAATAAGTACATTTCTTTTTTAAAAATTATTATTGTGGAAATACCATACAGAGGGGTTACAATTACATGGGTGAGATAGTGAGTACATTTCTTATGAAGCATTGTTGCTTCCTCCTTTGTTTCCCCTTCCCATCTTCCCATCCCTTCCCATCTCCCACCCCCACCCACCACCAAAGTTGTAAAGTTTGTTATTTCATATTTTCACAACATAGTGTTTTCAAATTGGATTAGATTTTCCAGTGATTACTTTAAATATATATGTATATAATACATTTCATTCATACATTATTTTTATTATTAAAAATAATTTTAATGAAACCAAACATTGTTGAGCAATAAATAGTTCATTAAACCTTCTCATGTTGTTTTGTTTGATCTTTAAAATTTTGGTTGTGAATTTGTAACATCTTTTGTGAAATAGGAAACAAAAGTTCAGTCCTGTTTGATGCCAAGGATATACTTCTAAATGAAGAATGGAGTCAAGATTAAAACTGGTTTGACTGATCAGCCCCTCCTCTAGGAACTACCGTCTGGCTTTACCATTGTTCATCATTGTTCACTTTTTTATTTTCATGTAATTTTCTATTCCTAGAGCATGGAAGGATTTATCAACACGAGGAAGAAAAGGTCTTCTAAGTATTTTTGGGACATGTTCTAAAGAAGTTCATCTTGTGATTGTAATACTAAAAAAATCTTTCATGGAATATTTCTTACTTAATTTCCTTTGCAGGTACTGAACTAAAGAATGGAAATTGGAGCAGCCTTGGGATGTCAACTGAAAGCAAGGAGTAATTGTATTATTTTCTCTGTCTCTGAGTTACTTTCAAAATAGCTTTATAAAAATTGAAGTTATGAAAAAATTGAATTTATGTATTACCAATGCATTAACTTCTCTCTGCCATCAACACACAGAACAGTCAATAATTTCAGAAACTAACTATGAATAAATGTAATGCATTTAAATGTTTTGTACTGAATTATTAAAGCATAAGATATTTTCTGTGATCTGGAATCACAGAAAATACCTGTGATTTTTTTTTTATCCTATTACCTGTACCCATGTTGCCTTAGACTTAGGGTTAAATATTGCTTCCTTAGTAGTGTGGAAAATAACATTTTATACAATGTAGGTATATATAAAATAATAGCTGCCTGAATGCTTGCTACATGAATAAGTGATCACAAACCTAATAGGCCTTTATCCAAGTAGGCTTCATGCCTAAGAGAGAAACATCAGTAAATCTGCATAAACCAGTGTAGCTCATCTGGAATACAAAGAGAAAAGTGAAACCAATAGCAGCAATTTTATTAAATGCCAAGAAGTCCTTTGATGTAATTGAATAGGAATACTTGTATTATATTTTAGGTAAATTTTGCTTTGGGGACAAATAGAGCAGGTAACACAATTTATTTTCAACCATTTGTATGGTTTATAATTTCTCTTTCCCTGCCCTATTGCTACATTGAGGTGGGAAGTAAGGATGAAGACCATTACTGAGATTACTTTCCAAGTTGATATTGAAGCTATAGCACCCAACTCCTCTGGGCATCAGCAATATGAATGTTCACAAGTTAACTAATGTATGATGGCAATTCTGCCTGTGCTCAAAACTCTTAACAGCATTTGTCTGTCAGAATTTAGAATGGCTTCAGGCTGCAAAATCAGTGGAGAGAATTAGAAGTTATGTATTGGCAGAGCAGTTTCTATTTAATGTGTGGCATTTAAAATAAAATTTAAACTTTCAGAAATGATTTGGGAGTCACATTAGAGAGTAATTAGTATTAGAGTAAACAAACATTTAAACTGGACATTTAAATTGGACCTGTAATTCTGTGCAGTTTTTTTCTCTTTCCAAAAATAGGTTTTTACTAAATATAACGAGGATTAAATCTTAGTAGATCATGTACCTCTTCAAAATTTAATTTGATAATTCAAATATTAACTTTATTCCTCTCGGCAACTTTTACAAATGGAGGAATTTACTTCATAATGTAAGACCACATAGTGATCTGAAGCCCTATGAAAGATGGGCTGCCTTAAAGAAAGGACTGCCTGGCTAGAAGTTATATAATGACATCTGTCATGACTCAGTTAAGCTTCTATGGCTTATTCAAAGGAATTTTCCACTGCATCTTACTTCTAAATATGAGTAATATACCACCTAGCAGGATCAACAATGACCAAAAATAGTCTATTGAGAAATAAAGGTCTTAGTTCCCAGCTTCTAAAACAAAAATTGCAGATAATTTCAAGAATAGAGATAGTTCAGGGGGATCAAGTATGATGAAAAAGGTAGTTTGTCCTCACATTTGTTTATGATTATTGTTAAAAAGTTTATTCAGTTGTTATGCAAACAAAATGGCACATGGAAGTGAAGCACAAAGAAATTAGAGGACTGAAGGGCTCCGAAGGAAAAAAAGGAATATGGTGCTATTAGTTCTATGTGATGTATTTAACCATGAGTAGCCAGAATGACTATAGCTATACCCTATTCAAACAGTAGGTCTTTCTGTTGAATTGATAATAAAG